GGGCAGAAATCTTGACCTACACCAAAAGTGGGCATTGCACTACCTATAGGAGAAGTTGGGTTTCTTTTTTTTTTTTTTTATTTGTTTGGTTATAGAGAAAACTCCCCCTTGTCTTTTAAAGAAACTGAACAAGGAGCAAAAACTTTACCTTCGATTTTCTGAAAACAGTATTTTTTGGGGATAGCCCGCTTGTGCTTAAAAGCGACCATTAAGTTGGAAAGATTCACAGTTGAAAGAAAAGTCGGTTGAGGCCTCACCGTCGGCAATAACCTAACAGAATACAGAACATTTTATGGATACAACCTCACAAACATGGAAGAACGTGCAAGCACGCACACACACGCTCGCTCCCACACGCTCACACAGGCGTACACACAATAGTGTTGCTTCTACCTTTGATGATGATGATGATGTTGATGATGATGATGATGATGTTGATGATGATGAAAAGCCGTCGAAGGGAAACGTTGAGCTGTTTTCAGTAACCCACCATGTTGACTGCCATATCGTACTTCCTAGGCGGCCAGTTCCCCGAGTCCCGACGACATGGTGGAAGTGTACAGTGACAGAGTCATCGCCACTGTGTCTCCGGGGGACCTCCGTCTTATTGTAAGTGGTTGTTGTTGTTGTAGTTGTTGTTGTTGTTGTTGTTGTTGTTGTTGTTGGATTTAGGGCCACTCCGCGGTAACTTCTAGCTGTTTCAGTTTCAATTTTTATTGTGACCGTTCGTGAGTTTTTATTATATTCTATTTTCTTTTTACGAACACATTGCCAGGCTCATTGTTTTTCTTATAGAATTTTTTTACATATACATATTAGTATATATGCATAATACCATGTTTTACGTTCAGAAATGTCCATTAATTTTTAAGGTGTGATATTTTTATTAATGTAATGTGCATTGAGCAGTTTTTAGACAATAGAAATGCGCAGTATGCTATTAATTATTAATATTTTATTATCCTTATTATTATTATTATTATTTTTTTTTTTTTTTTACAATGACAACACTGTAATTGAATATCAATTGATCTATTTCAACTAACAATGATCAGAACATTTGAAGACATATCAAAAACCATATTAAATGCGTCATTTGAAAAAATCAAGTACTTTGTTCAAATTCTGAGACGCGTTTAGTTTCGGTAACGAACAAGACAGAAGAAATATCTCTTTCAAATGTTGTGATCATTTAGATTGTTGAAGTTATTGTGGTTGTTGTTGTTGTTGCTGTTGTTGTTGCTGTTGTTATTGTTGTTATTGTTGTTGTTATTGTTGTTATTGTTGTTGTTGTTGCTGATGTTGTTGTTGTTGTTATTGTTGTTGTTGTTGCTGATGTTGTTGTTATTGTTGTTATTGTTGTTGTTGTTGCTGATGTTGTTGTTGTTGTTATTGTTGTTGTTGTTGCTGATGTTGTTGTTATTGTTGTTATTGTTGTTGTTGTTGCTGATGTTGTTGTTGTTATTGTTGTTGTTGTTGCTGATGTTGTTGTTGTTATTGTTGTTGTTGTTGTTTTGTTGTTTCTTTAGCTATGGGTCTTTAAAAATCATTTTTTGTGCGTGACGACAGAGCTGTTGGTTCTATATTGCTGTATTATTTCTGTCTCTGTACCTGCATGTATCTATGTCTCTTCCACATCAGAGGCGTGTGTGGTATAGCGGTTAGTCCCTTCGTAGTCGCACGCAGGAGACCCGAGTTTGATTCCCGAGTGGGGAGAAGTTTTATCGAGTATCTCGATCTCTCTGCTGAAATGTTATGTCCCTATCAGCCCGGGTGACCCAGACAGACAGGGTCGGAAGCCCGCCTCCTAAATGATTTAAGTCGTGTCGATGGGGGTGTAAGAATACCGATATTTTTTCATCCACATCACAGAAATCCAGACTGATGAAGTCGAAGAAACCTGGTCTTGATCTGGTACGTTGTGCGTTCGGGTGTGTGTCGTTGATAGAACGTCGTCATCATCATCATCCTCAAAATCATCACCATTTTTCATTTTTAAGTTTTGGAAGTATTTCACCATAAATTGTGCCACAAATATTTGGCTACACTAAATATAGTGCGCACATAACACTAGAGCTGTATCTGATAAACATGTCACCAGCGAGCAGAACAGAGCAGGCCGAACAATACACCAAAATGGACAAAGGAAAACTTGTATGCCCTATTTGTGTCTAAAGCACCGTAAAACTGGTACTAGACCTACAGGGGCGGTGGTTGGCGGGTGGCTCTATGTTGTTAGCGTCTTCCTTCCTATCAAACATCTATCGTCTTTATCTCCTGTCCTTCTTTTGGCTGTTTGTTCCTCTCTTGTAACACCTCTAGTCTTGGGCACGCATATGGCCGTATTGTGTTGCGAGTGCCGTAAAACACTTACTAAAATAAAAGACCTCAACAAAAACCCAAACACCTGTGACCCACAGGGCTACTTCCGCCTGCCCCAGTCTGGCACCCCGCCCTCCCCACACGCCAGCCTGTCGCCCGCGCCTCCCGAGATGTCTGTGCTCAAGGGTAGACACACAGAAGGTAACTACAGGACTCCATTGGCTGATGGGACCTGTCCTCGTCCTCACGATACTTTAGCGTACGGCAGAATTTCGCACAAATAAAAGCCAAGTACAGAGTGATAAAAAATAATCCCCCTACACAAACTCTTGAACTTTTTTTTCTAAATATCTTGCTCCCAACTTGTACTAGAATTTGTTGGACATATACTCCACAAAGAAGAAACGTACTTTCCAAAACGGAAATGGCTTTATATAAAAACCACATATAAATGCAAAATACACCTGTTTAAAAAGAGCTTGTTAGGAAAGTCATGAAATAATTGGTTAGTGTTTTAATTTCCTCTTATTTTTTAAACGTAATCTTTCCATCCATGTAACCTTTAAACAATATTAACTATACAGAGTTAATAAAATATGTTTTTAATTCTGGAATTCCGAGAAGCAATGGTCTATATTATACCCTCCTTTGGACTCGACACATTGGACGTGTCGTTCGTCATGTTCAGTGGGGGCCAAACACAAGGGTCCACTCAACCATGAGTGGTCAAAGCCACACACACACACACACACACACTT